AGCCGAACACGTGCTCGTTTAATTGATTTTTTTCTCTAATAATTAATGAATTTATTTATAAGAAAAAGAAAAAGATTTTTAATATATTTGTAAATGTACTTACCATTTACTATATTGTAATTTTTCATTAACTAATAACAATTAACGATGCCACTGGATGGCACTATGGTAATCACTGCAGTCGAAATGACAAGGTTTTGTCACTACCACAAGCGGTGAGCCGAGTGACGAAATGCAACACGCACACACTACACAGACACGCATTTAACACTATGTCTCAGCCAATCACATCGCGTCTCTCAGCCAATCATATCACGAATAAACTGGCTTCACTCAACAGGCCATGACTTTTTATAGGAGGGATACGTATTATATGGTGTAATAATTATTATTTACAACATTTTTCAAGCTGAGTAATGATTCTTAATCTGTGAACGTTTAAAAGAAAAATAAGATTTTCTAAGACAATTATAAATAGGTTTCTTTCACGAAGATTTCATATATTATTATTGATAATATTATATAATAAGAACAACAAATTTATTGAATGGTATAAAAATCTTTAAAGAATATAACAAAAATCTTTTATAAATACGAGGGTGGTTCGATAAGCATTTAGCCTACAAAAGAAAAAGGAAAATTTTGGAAAAGTGGCGTTTTATTTTTCAACATAGTCTCCTTTTAGTTCGATATTCTTGGCCCAGCGATGCTCCAATTTCTTTAACCCATCTGAAAAACACGTTTCCTTGAGGTCTGAAAAGTAGGCTTCCGTGGCAGCGATTACCTCCTCATTCGACTAAAATTTCTGCCCGGCGAGTGACTTTTTCAAGTTTGGAAAGAAAAAGAAGTCGCACAGGGCTAAATCTGGAGAATACCGTGAATGGAGCAGCAGTTCGTAGCCTAATTCGACCAATTTGGCCATGGCGACGGCGGAGATGTGAGCCGGTGCGTTGTCATGGTGGAAGAGCACTTTTTTCTTCGCCAAATGGGGCCGTTTTTTCTGCAATTCGACGTCGAATCGGCCCAATAATTCGGCATAGTACAGCCCTGTGACCGTTAAAACTCTCCAGGTCGTCGACGTAGATCACACCTTGTAAATTTCAGAAAACGGTGGCCATCACCTTTCCGGCTGATGGGGCAGTCTTCGCCTTCTTCGGAGCACTTTCGTCTGGTAAAGTTCACTGTTTCGACTGTTCCTTGGTCTCTGGTGTATACCAGTGGATCCATGTTTCGTCGACTGTCACGAAACAACGCAGAAACTCCTTCGGATTGCGCTTAAACAGCGTCAGACATTGCTCTGAAGTTGTCTCACGGTTGCGCTTGTTGTCCGGAGTGAGCAAACGCGGCACCCATCGCGCCAACAGCTTTCTCATGCCCAAAATTTCATGTAGAACATGACCCACGCGGTCTTTTGAGATGCCTACGATCTTAGCTATCTCGCGCACCTTCAATCGTCGATCTGCCAATACGAGATCGTGAATTTTTGTCACGTTATCCTTCGTGGTAGCCGTTTTCGGAGCACCTGGACGTGGCTCTTCAAAAATCGACGTGCGACCACGATGAAACTCGTTAAACCAATTTTTGACGGTCGCCATGGAAGGAGAAAAGTCACCGTACACAGCATCCAAGCGCTTTTTGATTTCGCTGCGCGATTTCCCTTCCAAAAACAAGAATCGAATCACCGACCGATACTGCTCTTTTTCCATTTTTCAAAAATCAACGGACACACTTGCTTTCACACGCTATCAAAAATAAACTACAAGTCCGATCCGACTGAAATTTTGACAGTAACCATCGAGAAGGTTGTACTACGTGATAGAATATTTCTTTTGCGAAAATGGCGCCATCAGGCGGTGAGGCTAAGTACTTATCGGAACACCCTCATACATCAATTTTTCGAATTTGAATTGCCAAATACGTCGTAGTATTGTAATTTAAATCAAAATCATGAATTTATAATAATAATAATAATCATCATCAAAATAGTATTAGTAATAATAACATAAGTTTGGTTGTTATATTTATGTAAGGAAGTGTGCAGTTCAGGTTTGAATCCGCGCGGGAACGTCAGAAGTTCTCCTAAGGGACTGCGAGATCCCTTGACTCCGCTGCAATCCTCCGCACTCGCTATGTAGAAACCAAGTCGAAATTCGCGAGGAGAGAAGGCACAAGAAAACAGTGTGTTGAACAATTAGGTTTTATTTCTTAGGCACTAAGTACACGGAGGCTCTGATGCCACAGCTGTGGGCATAGTAACCAGACTGATCGCACAGAACTTATGTCGCGGCGATTCGCAGTTAGGCACTCTGCTCTGACTTGCGCTCCGGCAGACGGCTCCAAGCTGACTAACTGCTCTACTCTGCTCTCAGCACGAGCAATTACTTCCGAGGCCGCCGTAGTTGCTGGGCAGTGCTGCCAGGTGGCGGAACAGGTTGGCTGGCCGGTACGGGCGCTACATTTATACTTGCATCCAGTACATGGACAATTTATTGACTGATACTTATTTTTTAAGACTACAGTGAATTTTGATAAGTAATCATTGAAATACCTTTTAAGTTTGAAATATTTCTTAAATCATATTTATATAAAATTATGCAAAAAATTGATGTGAGGTTAATCGGACTGATTTTCATCCATTATCATATTGAAAGTAAATAATGTTAGCATTTATAATCATGCTACCGACGGTTTTCTTTTTTAAATGAGCGATTTTTGAGATGTCAATTAATACACTATACCATAGTATAAATAGCCACAAATCTTCAAAGAATTATGATAAAATATTTCATATTTAAATGTTGATAGATTTTCATGCATATCCTTTAAAAAACAGATCTCACAAACTAAAAAACACAATTATGAACTGTTTTTAACAATTTACATAATACCAGAATATATAGACAGTACTATAGAATAAGAAAATAGTTGAGAATACCTTTAAACATTCATATATTATAATGATTCATACCCGATTTATACTTATTTAGTAAACTTCAATACGTGAACAATGATATGATTTGCAGTTAAACCATGTATGCTATTACACTAATAGAAGAGGGTCTATAGAAAGAAGGCCATCAATCAACGGTAATATCCACGGGTCTGGAACTTTTTTTAACAAGGATGTTATCTGATTATGGCAATATAGACTTTCAAAAGTTACCATTAAGGCAGTGCTGCGATCAAATAGTGATGTGACTTTTTCCCGACTCACAAATTTCATTCATCGCTTTTTGACCATCTTAAAATCATCATATCTCGGTAAAAAAAGCACTTAGAAACATCTGTAGGATATTAAATTAAAGGCCTGAAACTCTACTTTCTCTTTGTCGAACTTATTTAAATCTGAAATGATAATAACTTATTCATAAGCTCGAAAAAACGCAGAAAAAGTGTTTTTGTGAAGTTTTTAGTAGTTGAAAAAGTAAAATCTCGGTTAATAAATTTTTTTTCTGTTCAAAATGACTGCCAGACACAGTATTTTTACTCAGATGAATGGATGAAATGAGTCGGACGTCCCTGAAATATTTATATGGAAAGAGCAGAACATAAAAGTGAAAAAATTTTTTTTTTAATTGAAAAAAACGTTTTTTTGGAAATTGGAACGGGTTTATAATCTTTTCTATCAAATTTTGTTGTTTGGTTCGTAGTTTTAAAATATTATTAATCGATCTCAAGGGTGGGAGCTGATATTTAAGCACTTTGGGAAATAGCTGTCACTCTATTGTATATATGTATATATATTGTAACGGGGTGTATTTCCGTATTAATTTCTTTGTCTTGCCTAACGCGCAGTCATACCGGAATGCGCGCAACGAGATCGAAATAATCAATTTTTGTTAACTAATCGAGGAGTGGAGAAAAGCAGGTATCAGTTAACCAACTTACTAATAGCAAAAGAACAGTAAATTAATGTTTCAATCATATACAAACTAGTTTATTCACTATATAATCTAGACGAATTTGGCCCGCGCATTTACGCTTATTCGATGTGTGCGACAATCTTACGCGCCGCCATTTCGTTTACAGTCACTCGTTCGAATTATTCGCCCTGCATGCTCGCTCGCTACAGATTTCCTTACGTTCGCAGACGTGACGGGAGCGCTAAAATATTACGCGCGGTCGTTCAGCAAAAATCATAACGCGAAGCTGGTCAGCTTACCTTATACGATTAGTCGCGCTGTCAGGGAGAGCAATTCAGTGTTGCCTCTTAACACATGGCTCAGGTTGCCGCTTTTCTACCACGAAAACGAGGCCTCTTCGATCGTCCTGCTGCTTTCGTCGGATCGGCTCGTTGAATTCGCCGCCGGCCTATGATGACGGATTCGCTGGGTTGACACGATAGCAACAACAAGAAACTATTGGCAGTCTAGTATTCGCGCACCTTGATACAACTGCCGCATACACAAGCTCTGCTATCGGTGCTAGAGGTACTTCTCGAACAAACGCTGGTAACGATTCTGGCGTTAATCCCCGACAACGCGCGTTGATAGCGAAGCCAGTGGTACACCTCGACTCCTGCACGCTGTTACCGGTGTCAAAGGCGCTCTCCCACTAGTCCTTTTCTCTCCGCGCGCATCCCTTCCCATTTCGGACGGAGTTCCCGTTTTCAACTTCCCTCGGTTGGTAGGTGCTGCCCTCGCAGGCAGTCACACGATCGTGACGGTAGCGCAAACCGGACGTTTACTGTCACAGTATGTATATATATAGTTTTTAGATTTGTTATTTAATAAATTTTTGCGTAAACAACTGACTTATAGCTTATGTTTTGTATATTCCATGTCATTTCACATCGAGGCTTGCCACGTACCAATCTGACTCACCGTCACCATTGTGCTGATAACGATTCATCCGACTCCTCATGGAGCTCTAAGATAAGCCAGACACATTGCCTTATTGTGAGCTACTTACTACTTTTATCCATATTTAAAGATAACATAAAATCACATATTGACTTCTACCACCAATTAAAAATACATTACTTTCTATTCCTAACTCACCTTGTGGTAGCGTATTCTCGTAAACCTGTATGTAAGTGCATAGGATTAAAGGTACCAATACAACCTCTTAGGCGCATATCTTTTCCAATTTTCCAAGTCACGAATAAAGGGCTGGAAATAAAAACATGAAAATTATTGTAACTACAAGATTAGTTTTATAAAGATATTCATTGTAACTTCTGTTTAATTAGCACAACTTCGATTGAGATTTGTTTTAAATATGGCTAATCAATATTCCTGAAATTATTACATGAAATTTACTTTCCTATTCAATAATAGATTAATCCAGTAATTTATAAAATAACCATTAAAAATTTTCAATCATTACATTTTTGTTTGCCTGTTATAACGACTAATGTTCCACCTTACGTTTTATAACACTTATAAATAGTGTCACTGAGAAAAGTTAAAAATTCATATTTATAAAATTTTTCATAAATATATATTTAAAAAAATAACAATCAATTATTCAACTGTAATAATTATCTTGAATCGTTCTGTAAATTTTTCATATAGTCGACGTGAATGATAGATTTGCAAAAGAAGTGTATCCCAAAACATTTATCCATTTTAGAAATTTAAAAATGGTAGCTAAATAAAGAATTATACGAAAACTTCGATTTCATAGAAACTTTGAAATATTTTTTAGCATCAAATTTTATGAGATACCTATTTTTAAATATGAGAAAGTTAAGGGTTATAATTTTATAAATCATGCTAAAAAAATTGTTCTAATATGTATTGTAACGGCGTGAATGCTCCGTCTTTTTATTTCGATTATTTATTCGCACAATTGTATCGAAGAGCGCGCGGTGTTATCGAAACGTTCAAATTCATGAATCGGAGAGCAGGAGGGAACGGGGGTCAGTCAACCAACTTGCTACTAGTGAGAAATAATAACAGCGAAATTATAATCAGTATCACATGCGAATTAGTTTATTTACCTCTTCTCTACAGTATACTTGGCCCGCGTGTTTATGTTTACAAAGCGTGCGCGCGCGTCAATAACATGCAGCGTCGGAGCGATCGCCGCTCTTTGTTCGCCGGGTTAGTACATTAGTCCAGGAAAAATAGGATTTGAGGCGGTTTTTCATTTCGTCAAGACGATTATTTTTTGACAGGTAGTTTGAACGGCGTACATTAAGATAACAACTATCCATAGTCTGAGAAAGTTGCGGCACATTGTTAAAATGTCCATAAACTAATAAATTTTGTGACTTTTTTCGTTCTTTTCTTTATAACTTTGTTCCGTTAACATTTACAACAAAATAGTTCAACACTTTTTTGTTCGTGAATAAATTACCTACAAAAACATAGTTTGCAAGTCAAAAAATATCCATCAGGTAAAAAGTTATTAACTATTAACTTTTGTATTTTGAAAATATTATAAACAATTTTTTTTAGCGTTGTTATAAACATTGTGTCACCGCTTCTCGTTGAATGGTGTCTTTTCGTTATGAGATGATGTGTACGAAATCGCGAATCAGTAAGTTTAATAGTTTACGAGTTATCGTCTTATAAACAAATTACATACTCGTTTATTTTTCGAAGCCCAATTGTTATCCACTAATGAAAAAAAAATTTACGTTATGTCTTTCAATGCCCTCTATCGATTTCCAAAATGATTTATCAAAAAAAATCAAAATTGCGATCGTGGGAGCAAAAAAACAAAAGCGACCTTAATTGCAAAATAGATTAATAACATTTTCAGTAACTTTTTTGTAATAATTATTTCGGGTTTGGATAGCAATTCAAATAAACTTCAATTTAAAACAACGATGGCACAGATCCGTTGATAAACAAAAAAGTTACAGGCCGGCAAAGTTTTTGGCTTATTGTTCAATAATTTATGCCACTAGTGGAAAAAAAAAAATATCGCCATTGGCGGAATACCTCTAGTTTTTAGGGATGAAAATTTCAAGTCTATGGAAAAAAGGTAAACGGCTTAAAAAAATTTGGGAAAATCAGCCCTCGGCAATAATATTCACGATCTATCGCGCGGCGGCGGAGTGGGGGAAGCCGACGAATACTCGACAGAAAAATTGAGTCTGACCCACAAAATCAGCAGCGCAATAAAATCGCTATTTTCTCGTTAACTATTCAACATATTTTCATCATTTTTTTTTAATTTGATACCCCGCGAAGAGAGAAATCTATTCCCGCTATATAAAATAAGCAAAAGTTATAAACAATGGAATAAAATTTATTTATAAAAAAATGTCATTTTTTTTTCTTCATTATTATTAACAGGAATGAATTATTATTATATAGGTAAGTAAAATTAAGCATTTTAACATTTTATTTTCAACATTTTATTGAAAAAACAAATAATCAATATAATTTACAAATAATCAATACAATTTTTTTCGGTGTAGTATACGCTCGCTTATTATAAATTTGACATTTATACGTCCGCTTATTATAAATTCTAAATATACACGCTCACTTATTAAATATTAGAAATTTATACTCTCGATTACTGTAAAATCAATTTTTTTTCTTTTTTTTCGAAGGAGGGCTGTCAGATTCGCTGATTTCATCTAACTCGCTTTCAGACTGATAATCAATGTTATCTTAATCAGCAATTGGTGGGAGATAATGCGCTGTATTATACTTCATGCTATCAATATCTTGAACGCATTAGCTAAAAATTTACTTGTAGAATATTTTTGTAATAGCAAAGCGAGTGAGACCGAACGAGAGCGAATGAAAAAAATTGAAGAAGCGTCTTTAATATGCGTTCAAGATAAATTTTTGATAAATCATTTTGGAAATCGATAGAGGGCATTGAAAGACATAACGTAAATTTTTTTTTTATTAGTGGATAACAATTGGGCTTCGAAAAATAAACGAGTATGTAATTTGTTTATAAGACGATAACTCGTTAACTATTAAACTTACAGATTCGCGATTCCGTACACATCATCTCATAACAAAAAGACACCATTCAACGAGAAGCGGTGGCACAATGTTTATAACAACGCTAAAAAAAATTGTTTATAATATTTTCAAAATACAAAAGTTAATAGTTAATAACTTTTTACCTGATGGATATTTTTTGACTTGCAACCTATGGTTTTGTAGGTAATTTATTCACGAACAAAAAAGTGTTGAACTATTTTGTTGTAAATGTTAACGGAACAAAGTTATAAAGAAAAGAACGAAAAAAGTCACAAAATTTATTAGTTTATGGACATTTTAACAATGTGCCGCAACTTTCTTAGACTATGGATAGTTGTTATCTTAATGATAACGACGTTTACACTACCTGTCAAAAAATAATCGTCCTGCCGAAATGAAAAACCGCGAAACGGCCTTTTCCGGCCTATTTTTCCTGGACTAACATGCACGCTATCGATTCTTACAAAGTGTGAGGGATTAGCAATTAGTTCCGCGCAGTTGTGAGAAAATAAAACAAAGTCGCGATATAAAGCTGGCCAGCTTACCTTCGTATCAGTCGCACTACTAGCAAGGGGAAGGGAGACGAGTTCGTTATCAGTCCTTCACAGGAACAGTCTGCTCTCGGTTTCGCCCTCGATGGCGAAACTCTGCACTCATGCTCACTCACTCACACACGCTACCACAGCGACGAAAACAGTTTTCTCGAGCTCGGAGGTGTCACTTCCACGCAACGTCCTGGAAATTCGGCTGGCTCACTTCCTATCTCTCTGGAAAGCTTTGGCGAAAACTCTCACTTTTCTTAACAGCGGCTGCATGCTCGAATAATTTATCCTCGACTGGTTCATTTATATTCGCACGCGTTCCGTCCCGTCTCGTACCAAATTCCCTTATGCCATTTTCCCCAACCAGTAGGTGCTGCCCTCGCAGGCAGACGCATGGTCGAGGCGATAGCGCTAACTAGACGTTTACCGTCACAGCCCCCTTCCAGTCTGGACTTATGGGATCCTTGACGATAGAATCGTTAGCGCCATTCCTTTCGAGGCTAGGAGGGTAAAGGTCAATTAAAAAGGTTATGCTCTACGTCTTTTATACTTTATTATGGATAATCTGGGATCGACCCTGCCCACGGGGGCAGGGACCTTTCACCAGGAGGGTCACCGGGTTACTTCCCGGCCTTCGTCGTCCAGCTTGAGGCATCCGCGTCCCTCCCAGCTCAGCCTCTCGTTGATTAGGTCGGGGTGCTGCTAGACGCGAGGACAACGGTCTGTGCGGGTCACCCTGGGGTAGTGACATACGTTGCACCTCTCCCACTGGGCGTGGCATAAGGTGCCCCAAGGGAGGCCTCGTTTCCTGGGGGTCAGCGGTAACCCGTCGCGCCGATTCGGGGCGGACCTCAACGGTCTTTCGACCGTGGGGTCCTCACCCGTGGACCCCACCACAAGGTTGATGTGGATGTGTGGGTCCAGTTGCTTGACCCCCGTTGCTGCCATTAACGTTTACCACCAGGTTCACCCCGCACGTCCGCTGGTCCGACCCCTGGATCTGATGGTCACACTTCGGTGGATGGAGGCTGGGCGGTGACATCTAGTGCGCCACCAACCGAGCCCTCGAGGGCCTGGCGGTGACGGCGTCGCACCTCTTTAAGGGCCTGCGCGAACCAGCGCCGGCGGGACACCACCTTGCTCCAATGTTCGAGGTCGTTGGGGCGGTGTCCCGCAGCCGTATACGCATCGAATTTCGCGTATACGGCCCGTTGGAGAGCGTTGAAGGTGGTCCAGCCTTGCTCGACCTCCCTCAAGCTCTCCACTATTTCTTCCCAGGTTCGTTACCAGGCGAGAATGCCTGGCTGCTGAACCTGGGACGTCAGGTCGCGCTGATGGGGGCGCCCTCTGTTTGGGTACCCGCTGATCTTTTTGGGGGCCTCATCGGGATGGCTCCCGCTGAGAGTCCGGGTAGCAGCGTGGCCTCCTTGCGCGCGATACCCGGTGTTGACGACGGGCTGGCGGTGGTCTCTTCATCTATCAGCTCCTCTATCAGCACGGATGACGAGCTCTCATGAGCTCGCACCCGTGCTCGTTCCTCTTCCTTCCTCTTTTCGCTGAGGAGGTGCAGAGCAACGTGGACCACCCTCTCGATGGCGGGGCTCAAGTCCAACCCAATGAAGGCGGCCGCCGCCCGCTCAATTTGCTTGAGCGAGATCTTCATCCTGT